CCCCAAAACCCCAAAACCCCAAAACCCCAAAACCCCAAAACCCCTGAACTCTTAAGCCAAATTGAATTGAAAGATGTATAAAACTGTTGAAGTAAAATCCATTTGCGTTAAAAGAAATTATTCATAATTAGCCCAGGGAGCAGATGAGTGAAACTGGGTTCTTTTTATCTCTTTTGCTGTCATTGTTCTATATAATATTAGGTTTGCCAATGTTAGTTAGGAATAGAGTAGCTTGCTTGGAAATTGTGATAAATATAAGTGGGTCTTTGGTGTTTACAATATATTAAGAAATAGCAAAAAATTGAGAAAATAATTAAGCATTAATTATCAGCAAAATGCAAAAAATTACCTTGGAGCCTCCTGTGTTGCAACATGAGCTTGTCTCTCATAAGTATGAGCTGGAGAAATTGTGTGGTCTATTGGCTTCTTTTGGAATGAGGCTTCATGGCTATTCTTAGGGGCTTTTGATGATTTTGAACATACGCTCAACCTATCCATCACTTCTTCTAGCTCTGCCTCTTTCTGCTTTATTAAATTATCTAAGTCTTCTCCTGTGGGATATTGTTTTCTTTCTTCAGATGTAATTTTAGCTGGAATGCTCTTGTATTCACTTTCGGTAGTTTTAGGTCTGGAAAATCTGTTATATTTTTCATTAGCATGAGTATCTTCCATCTCTTGATAGCCTCCTGTAATAGGATTTGTATAATTATTAGATGGCTTCTTATATTCTTGATGTTCTATGTTATCTTTAATACAGTTTAGTTGAACAGAAGAGATGAGCAATAAACCAAAATTGATGCAAAAATTTAATGTTTACTCACCATATACATTAGTTGGTTTGTTTGTTGCGTCATAGAGAGGCCCTCTTGATTGAGGCTTAACTGGGTCTTTATGGAAACTGAAACTACTAATACTATCATCTTGCTTTTGATCCTCGTAATTGTAAATTTGAGATACTCCGTCTTTAGATTCTTCATTTGCTGTCATCCTCTTCATCTGATTTGTAGATTCCTTTGATGATGTAATGAGGTTATTAATATAATCCCTTTTCACAACATTATTAGTCATACTGTATTTGTCGTTGGCTTCTTTCTTATATGTTACTTTGTAAGATGAAGTTCATTTGCCGCCAAAAGTAGAGAAATACTGAGAATAAATCACAAAGTTATTATTTTGTGGAAGGTATCTCTTTAGTCCATAATGCTTTGAAAGAAACTTCAGAAGCTTGCTAGAAGGTCTATCATATGCCAATTTAGCTGGGAGCTTCTTTGAGTCTTCAATCATTAAATCGAACAACTTCTTCCCGATTCCTTGTCTTTGAACTTCTTCTGAAACATAAAAATCTAATACACAAAGTGGAGTGATCTCTTTTAGCTGTCCATAATCATTTGTTATATAAAGAGTTTTAGTGCCTGTTTTTAAGTATCCTAGGCATTGCTTCCCCTTGCTATAGAAATAAATTTTTTGAGATTCTGAATTGCTCAGAAGCTTATCAAAACTTGTTATAGTTGCAGGAAGCATTTGAGCTTTTGCACTATACTCTCCCATTGTGTCAATAAGTTCTCTGATATAGTTATAGCTTTTCTTTGGAAGAGAACATAGCTTGTTTGAATCAATTATTGAGTAACCCTCTTTATTTGCCTTGGTGACTTGTTCGCAATTAAATTCAAAATTCATTTAAAATTTTATAATTCAATTAGAGGGAATTTATATGGGGTTTTGGGGTTTTGGGGTTTTGGGGTTTTGGGG